AAAAATAAATATAAAGTTGGTAAATGGCATATTTTTTATAGAAAAATTGAGAAATTTGATTGGATGTAAATTAAATATCAATATATTATTATCAAAAGTGGAGGAGGATCTTATGATTATTAAGGAGAGAGCAATGGGGAAAATAAAATTGGAAAGTGGGTAGAGCCCAGTGAATTTTTCCCAAAGTATTAGTTAGATAATTTTTATAGCTTATGCTAAATAACCTATAATGGTTAGTTTAAAAGAGGAGAAAGAATTGGAAAGTGGGATATTATGTATAGAAGGATGAATTTGAATGGATATACGTAAATTTTATTGATTATTATCTAAAAGTGGAGGTGGAGTGTATGATAATTAATTAAATAAGGGGAATGGGTTGAATTGAATGAAGGGTTTAATTTGTGAGTTTAAGTATTTAAAAATATTAGGAATAATTAAACGATTACTATTGGTAAGTATCAATATGGAATAAAAGTTGGTAATTGGGATAATTGGTAGTTTAAAAGTTTAGTAAGCATACAAAAAGAAAAAATGTATGTATTTGTTATTATCTATAGAGGAGGAGATTATAGAGTAAATGAAAGAGATGATTAGATTATTTCTGAAATTAAGGAAGGAAGATGGATTGAGTTAAGTGAAAGATTTAATGAGTAATGAAATTGATTAAATGTAATTCAGTTCCAATTAGGTTACCTATGTTAGTGAATATTAAAGTGGTGTACAAATAGGTATATGGTGTACATTTATGAATTGGAATGAAATTAACTAACATATGTATAGTATAGCTTAATATTTGTTTAAATAGTGGGGGTGAAAATACAAAATTAGAAAAGTATATGATAAAATTGTTTGCTCAGATAAAATATAATAGTGGATTGAATTAAGTGATTAGTTTCAAGTGTACTAAATTGATTTTTTGTGATTAGTTCAAATTAAATCTATTATTATGGTGAATATTAAAATAGGAATAAAGTTGGTAAATGGGATATTTTTTATAAAGATGTTGGTCTGAAAAAAGAATGAATGTAAAGTCTAATACTATTAATATCTTTAGAGGAGGAGGATGTTATGAGATTACCAAAGGAGATGATAATGTATTTTTTTCAAATTAAAAATGGAAGGGGATAGAATTAAGTGATAGATTTGATAGGTATTGAGTTCAAATAGTTAATGATAAGTTTTAATTAAGTTATTTTTAAAGGAGATTACAAATACGGTAAGAAAGTTGGTAGATGGTTTAAGATGAAGAGATAATAAAAAAAAAATAAAGGATGACTTTTACAAAATATAATTTATAATGACTCAAATTATTAGCGGGGAGGAGTAGTACCGAAATTGAAAAAATAAAATAGGTTTTAAAGTTATTAATTATATTAAAAAATCATATTCTTTCATATTCTCTAAATTTGAGAGAAAATATACTTTTTCATTTTGGGTAAATTTTATAAGCAGATTTTTTTTGAATAAATATAATAATTAATTAAATATAGAATTAAACTTTTTGTTATTTTTTTAATAATTCATATTAATTAAAAATATTTTACTCAGTTTTGATGATTTTAAAGTTGAATTAGTATGTTATCTTGAAATAATGCAATAACTTTGTCAATAAATATTTGGAGCACTTAATTCTTAAAAAAATCTAAAATTTAACTCATAAATTTGGCTATGCAAGCTCTCCTGATAAAAAAATAAGCTTATACTTTTTGGTTTAGCTATCAATCTCATGATTAAATGACCATTGCATTTTTCCAATTATTTCTGTCTAAGTAATCATATTTAGGAAGAGATTTAATTTCATAAGAGAAATTAAGGACATTTCTATTTGACTCTATAATCCATTTTCCTCATCATTTTTATTCATCATTCCTCATTGGACCTTTTAGCCTTAGAACTAGTGATATAATTGTAATTCAAGTCCAATTAACTCTTAAAAACTATAGGTATTGCATAATTCTCATTCAGAAATAATCATAATTTCTCTAGCTAAACTAGTTCATAAGAGATATCTGTATTACTACTGACTAAGTATTTTATTGTGTTCTTTGGCAGATAAATCCTTAATTCCTTTGGAAATCTCATAAAATTGAAACTAGTTAATCCCTCAATTAATTTGTATAACCAATGATGCAGACTCTAATAAGTTTTTATGAGTTAATTAAAAAAATTTTTAAGTTAATTTAGAAAAGAAGATTTATGAATAATAACAATTTTATTTGTTAGGGAGATAAGTTATTGTAAATAATGTATCAAAGTTTAGAAATCATATATATGAATATTAAATGATTAAAAATCTTATCAATATAGCAATGAATTTCTAATAATAATAAAAATTATGTAAATATTCAGAAAATAATATATTAACTGCAATATATTGTTTTAAATAGGAAATTATCTTGTCAAGACAGGGGAAGATATTCAGATTATTACCAAATTTTATTAATCAGTTGATTGATGAATATCTAGTCCAATTTAAATCTAATTAATTAACTA